CCCCCGAAGCTCCCCGCCTCTCCCGCGGCGGCGGATTGTGGCAGCCAGCTGGGCCTGCAAGCCTTCCGCTCTTCACTCGCGCGCTGAGCGCTGCGCCTCGTCGCGACCGGCAGCGGAGCTCCACGGAGCTGGGTGGCCAGCATAGCGCGGGCCCAGGCCGCTGGGTTACAGCGCCCTTGGCCGGGCGGGGAAGGAACGGCGCCCTTCCGCAGAGGCCACTGATTCCCCGCGGACCGGAGTCAATCCCGGCGATCATCGAAAGCGAGTACCCTCGAGCACTCTCGAGAACGTGGCTATTTCCAAGCCCCCGGGCAGGAGGCCCTGAGCGCCGGGACACTACAGGCCCCGGGCCCCGCCGGGAGCGCACTGCGTCTCCTAACCGGTTGGCACGCTCCCTATCGCTCTCCTCCCCACTTAGTAACTTGCTCTGTGGTCTTGAAAAACACAGGTGCAGGATGGTAAGCCTAGATAAAGCCAGACGTGCCCCTTCCTCTCACTCTCTGGACACCCAGACACCGCCCCACCCCCACCCCGGCAGTGCTCCGCACCCGGGGCTCCACGCGCTCTGTTCCCCCTGCCGCTCGTGTCGTCCTCTGATTACAGCAGTAAACACTGGGCAGCGGCCCCTCCAAGGGAGGGGGTTGTTTGGAAGTCGTTTAAAGACAGTGTCACCCTCGGGGTAGATGCCCAGAAGCCCGAGCCGCTGCCACGATGGGGTAGGAAGTGTAGGGATGCCTGAGGCACGGGGCCAAATGAGCCTCAGGCTGGAGTTTGGCCACAGGTCAGACTCACGGCCTTTGGAGAAGAAATCTCCAAACTGGTAGGGCTCCTAGAACGTATTTTTCACTCCTCCAGGAGTGGGAACGTCCCCACTACCCCGGTAGTGGTGAGGCAGCAAAGCTGCTCCCTGTGCGGCACGGGGCCTGGTTTTTGGTTCTGGGGCTCCGGTCCCCCCATCCCCGCCCCTGGTTGGCCGCTGCGGACATTTCCTGTCTTGCCACGGAAAGCTTATGATCCGGAGGTAACCAGAGAGGGAACTGCGGGCCCAGGGACTACGAAGGTGTGAATGGAAGGCCCGAGGCCAGAGCCTTGCTTCACCTATCTCGCGTGGAGAACTGCTTTCATTTACAAATTTCGGAGAGTTGAAATAAAATTCAAGTAATAGAAAATAATCAACATGCATTCAAATTTTCATATTGAAATGAAATTGACAAAAACGTTGGAAGACAACTTTAGCTTGCAGAGCATGGGCTCTGGCACCAGCACACGCAGCCTCTCTTGGCTTAAGCGGATGTCTGAAGGTGGAATCTAGCCGCTGCCCCCTGCGTAAGGGGCCCTGTGCCCTCCCGCTGTCCCCACAATCTATGCACCACCCCCTCTTCACTATGGGATGAGGAATAGGAATGAAAGCTAGGGCATCTTGTCCGAAAGCCCAGGAGTTTGCCTGGAAGCTGGAGATTCTCGCCTTCCCTGAAAGGCGGAAATGTTCCTCTTTTCCACACACCTCTCTTTGTATAAAAGGGAGTGGGGGAAGGCAAATGCCAAACTGACCCCCTAAGCAGACACGGACCTGAGAGGGGAAAAAAAGGAAAATCTCCAGTCGAAAAGGCTGCCCTGCTACTTGAATAAAAAAAATCGCCCGTGCACACAGCCTTTCACACTTGTTTACTTTATTCATCAATTGATACGGGGGGGGGGGAGGAGAATAATTTTAAAAGCTTACTCAAAAAGTATTCCCCAAAGAAATTATTTTATTAGAGTTTGGTAGTGAGAATAGCAGTTTTGCACATCCAAAATCTCCCTTCCCTTCCTTCTTTCAAGCCATCAGATTTCAAATTTTCCTCCTTTCCCACTTTCTCGCCCCCTCCTCACTCCTCTGTCCCTCTCCTTGCACCATTCTCTCCTTTCGCTTTGATTCCTCTTTTGCAGCGCCCGCGTTTCGGATTGGCACGGCTGGGTGCTCGTTCGCTCTGGATCCCGGGGCCCGCACGCGGCCGGATGGTGAGGCAGACGCCTTAATTCCCGCGAGAGACCCCGCAGGCTGGGCCCTCCTGGCTATTCTTTCCCGGCTCCAGTTCTCCTCTCTCTGCAGGACACAGAGGAGCTGAGCCAAGTTCAAAGTCACGTCGCCGTCCCCTCTTAAAAGTGCTTTATTTCTCTACAAACCGCAAAGCCCCTTTTCCTCAGGTTTTTTTTTTTTTTTTTTGGAAGGAAAGGGAAAAGAGAGCGCTCGAGCAAGAAAGCTAAGGGGGTGGGGTGGGGAACCTGCAAAGGCTTTCAAAGTCATTGCCTCAAATGTAGATTTGGTTTCCCTGACCGAAGGAAAAAAAGCGGCCAAGCTCCGCTCTGCACCATGTGAATGAATTCGGTTTTTCAACAGGTTTCTGGAAGGGCCCGCTGTGGCAGTGTCAGATCCGCGGGACCCACAACTGTCTTCATCCGGCAAATATGTCCCCTCTGTAAGTTTTCCAAAATTGTTCATTGGAGCTTTTATGGAGCTTGTGCCAGGCTGGCGAGACTGTTTTTGTTTGTTTGTTTGTTTGTTTTGTTTTGTTTTTCTGAATGTGGATGTCCCTGCATGGCGGGTTCCTGGGCGCCCGGGCTGGCGTCCTTTTCCCAAGTGGAGGGAATGACAGTGCGACAGAGAATTAGGATTGTCTTCAAAATACAGAAAATCCCATCAAACACCCAGGCACTCATTCACTGAGCACCTTGTTGTGTTTGCGGGCCTCTGTGAACGGTTGACTGAGTTCTTTTGTATTATGATGAGTATTTTGTGTGTATATACACATAAAAAAAAAAAAAACAATGTGTATATATACACACAACACATTCACACACCCATAGGGATATCTTCCAGGAGAAGCTAAAAACAATCAAGCAAACAAAACCAACCTTTAAATTGGAAAGCAGAAACACTCGGTGGCTATACCATTCAAACTTTTCATTTCCCTCTAAATGAAAGGGATGAGTAGGAGGGGGGGGGAAGAGATGAGAGAAACAAATGTGGAATCAGCTGTCTGTATACTCCAGACCAAAAAAAAAAAAGGATTTCACAGGATTTCAGCACCATCCTCTGTATCACAGACTCATAAATTCAACAAGATCATCAACAGGATATTAAGTTGCAGGTCACCTTTGATTCAGCCCTCTCAGCCACTCCTGGGCTAGGTGACCCCTGACCCATGGAGGACCACATGTGTGGTGGGGGAGCCCCCTCCGTAAAACCTACCTAAAACAAAAGTTCTTTGTCAGAGCTTTAGAGAAGTGTAATGTAAAAGAAGGGGGGAAATCTGTAATATAAAAGAAGGGGAAATCGTGAAAAATCTTGGCCAATGTTGTAACCTTTAAATGCCATTTTTAAGAAGGGGGAGGTTGAATGGAGGTGGGGAAGTATCATAGGGTAAGGCCTTCTCCTGTCTGCTAAAAACTTTTCCTACAGTTAAAATTTACTGTTCTGTAACTGGGCTTATAAAAAGTCTCTATATAAAATATATGCTCACCAGCCGGTTAGTGATAGGGATGCAAACGTTTGTGTATTTGTCA